CAAATGGGGAGCCGGTTCTTTTTTTCATAGTTTGAACTTATGCCTTTTTGAACAGTCTCTTTTTAGTTGTAACAAGTGGAATAAGTAATTAATTCATTATGTATCTGAACAGAGTGCTGAAAGCATTAAATAAAACTGCATTGCTTTCTTTTTTCCTTTACAACTTTTCTTTGTATTACAATACGTTTTTTTAAAGAAACATTAAGAGGAATCTGAATCAGATTCATATGCAGAATGCACAACTTTAAATGTAGTTTAGCAATACCTCCTCTTTCTGCAGGGTCTTCACAGCAAAACTCTTGGAGGAGAGAACCCAGTGCACAAGAGCCAGATGATGATCTCCATCACCGTGTCCCAGACGCACCAGATCTCTCACGTTTGGCAAAGTATCCACATCCTTCTGCTGTGAGGAACACAGTATAATCAAAAATGTAAAATTAGCCTGCTTGGAAAGGCCAACAGCACAGAGCGTTTATATCCTTCGAGCGTCTTACCAGCTCCTCAAAGTCCTTGACCTCTCCTCTGAGGTAGCGAGGAGGGAAGGGTCTGAGCGCTGAATCGCGTTTGTAGCTCTGGACGGCGGCTACGAAGAGGCTACAGCGCAGATCCGCCGCTACAGGGTCTCGATGCAGACAGGAGCAAACCAGCTCTCTGACCGCAGCTGTCGGGACAGGCGGCTGCATTCCCAACACTAAACACACACAACAGATATTCCAGGAATAATAGACAAGAAGAAATGATTTTCATGAACGCAAAACATCTAGACTGTGAACCTAGTGTCAATATATATATATATATATTATATTCTATAATAATACAGTAGCACAAAAACATTATATTTATAAATTATTATATTTAATATTTTCACTATATATATATATATATATAGTCATTTATTAGATTATTATATTATATATAGGTATTTATTATATATTATAATAAGTGCTGTTCACTGGGGTAAAACATGTAGAATGTGAGTAGTAGCATCAAAAATATATTGTGTACATGTATATGCAATATATATAGCTTGAAAGATTATTAATTTAAATATTTGAATTTATTTTATAATCATTATGTCATATATTATATTTATAAATGTATATATTTATTTTACATTAATGTTATTTTACATTTTAATTGTATTTGACATTTTTATATATACACACATTTAATATTTATATATTGAAAAAATTATATGTCATATTTTAAATTATATTCATAATTCTATTTTGACCACAGATAGATAATACTTTGTATTATCATTATATGACAAATGTATTTATAAAGTCATTACAATATTTCCATGAAATAAGCGTGTATACTTGCCATCTTCTTGTGTTAGCTCTAAAAATGAAGTTTGCTAAATAATTAATATAATATGATTTCAGTAGATGTACGTGACATGTAACACATTTAATAACTTTTCAGTGAGACCGATAGCTTTGCAGAGTAGCTGCTAACTGGGTTCATATCAGCTAGCCAGCGAACCCCAACCCATAATATAAACTTATTTATCATTTGATCTCAGACTAGCTCCTCGAATATCTGACTGGTTTACTGTAAGTTAATAGTTCGTTTAGTAGTCGCTTTGTTTAGCACTGCTGCGTTTGTTTACATGTTAACTTAGCCGGCTAGCTCAGCTAAGTTACCGTCTCACTGAAGTAACTCACTCAAGCTTCAACACACAAATGATTTGAAAACAGAGTACTCATCACTCTACCTGTACATTATAAAATATCAAACATTTGCCATACATTTATGTATTTTACCTGAAGCTCAGGCATCTGACAGTGAGCCACCGGAAGCTAAACGTGTCCAGCTGCCGCTGCGCATGCGCCAGATTCCACCGGCAGAGGGCGCCATACAGCGAGAGCCAATGGAAACAATCACTGAATACAGACTCAGCGACGCAGAAATGGAGAAATGGGACAGCTATTCGTGAAGGACCGCGTATATTCTCTAGTTTTTGTAATGCCACAGCCTTCCTAAATACTCAAACAATATTGTATGTAATTTCTGTGTGCTAAGGATTACCACATGTATTGTCTTTACCTCAAATCTACAGTAGCCTATCTACCTGTCTGTCTTTCTCTTTTGCTAGGCCTACTTGAGACGATGTAAGAAGCATCTTAAGCGCTGTGTTACCAGCAGTGGCTGAGTGCTGTTGTTTTCATTTCGCTGTAACCTTACAGAGCACTTCATATTATTGCCAGAGGAATATTAGAGATCAATTATATGTGGAAAAAATCAGGTCAATGTTTTGCTGAGGGATAGGATTCAGAAAAAAAGACTGAAGATAATTGGCCCAGAATCTACACAGGAAATAATGAAGAATACATTTTGCTCGACAGTTATACAATGATGAAACTATCTTTATTATTATATTATTATCATTATTATTATTATTATTATAAAGTAAAATAAATAAATAAATACATTTGAAACATTCCTTTGGACCCCAGTGTAGAAATCTGTGATATTTATATACAAATGACTGTAAGTTGTAAGCTTCTATTCTAAGCCAGGCTTTTCCTGTGTAAGACTCCCGTGCAAACATGATCTTTTTAAGAACTAGAAATGATATATCTTTCAGTGTTTTGTCACCCTTCTCATTTCTCCCTGCTAATGTATGCGTCTGTTCCTCAGTTTTATGTTATGCACTGTGTGTGATCATTTCACTGTAAAATGACACTGTACACTAGTATTGCAGCACTTTTTTGTTTTTACAAGAAAATAGTTTTTCAGCTTTTTTCAAAATGTTAAGTTTTAGTCAATGTGTTAACGTGCCGTTTCTTGGTATTACTATTATCATTATTATGGATTTAACTAGGAATGACCTATTAACCTTATTATCTTACCTAGTCACTATTCACTTCCTTTTTCTTCAGTCACCATGGATAATGTACACATTTCACATGCCTGCATGCCAGGAATTACTGGCAGTACCTATCTATCTCATGTTCTTCCTTTAATATACATGCTTCAGGACCGCGGAGAGCGGCCTCGCGCCGGAGAGAAGGAACGAAGTCTCGCGAGTCTCGAGGCCTGATTTATTCAGCATCGCACGCGCTCATCCCTCGCGGAACTGATGCTCATCGACGCGCGTGCGTGTGTAGGAGTGCCGTGACGCGGTTGCTTTCACTCCCATATTCCCAATATCATCTCCTAAGTAAGATAACGGATTTGGAAAACATCCCCATCACAAGTGCATCGACCACTGAATGGAAAGTGGGTTTTTTTTAGATGCGAGTGGACGAGAGAAGGTAAGGCGAACGGTTTCCACCGATGCTGTTCACGTTCTCACCCGTGGTTTTCACATTTATGTTCTCGGAACAGATGTATTGTGTCTTACGTGCAGGTGAAATCAGAAATGCATGCAATCTTCGCTTGCACTGTTGAATAAAACACCTCCCTGTTCAGCACCATCTTTCTTTTCCCTTGAAGGGCGCTCTGCTCGACCTCGATAGCGCTCTGAAATCAGTGAAATGCTTTTGCTAAATATTCTTTTGCTTTTGTTTTCTCTTCCAAACCTCATCTTGCGTTTTATAACGATACCTCCCGTTTGGATGAATGGAATAGCTTGTAACGTTATGGCAACTAGATGATCGTTTCATATCTGTGAACCATGCCCTTCACATTGCGACCGGGTTTGGCTCGATCCGAGCGAGAAAAACCGACCAGTAATCGTTGATAATAATCGCTACAAATAAAGGGTTGATAATAATCGTTATGTATAAACGCTGCATGATAAATAATTGGTTACAAATATAGCCGCTACGTATAAATGTTGGTGAATATTCGCTACAAATAATCGATTTATGATAACCGCGACCAATGTTCGAATTGTTCGAATCGTTCTTCATTCTGTTCACTCTAATCGTGTCGTCTTGACAGTTGTGTGTGGTCATGCATACCATGTAATAATGTATGATTCCGTTACCAGGCCTCATTAACCGGCATTATATTCGCTACAAATAATCGATTTATGATAACCGCGACCAATGTTCGAATTGTTCGAATCGTTCTTCATTCTGTTCACTCTAATCGTGTCGTCTTGACAGTTGTGTGTGGTCATGCATACCATGTAATAATGTATTCCGTTACCAGGCCTGATACATTTGAAGGATCAAATCAGAGGTTATGATAATAACAATCCACCGTTACAGTGTGCAATCACCAGGTTTATATGTTCGGAATATTACTCAGCCATATTACTGTTTTATTTTAGCATCATGCAAATACCCTGATTGCCATGAACAAATCAAACCAGTATTTGTAAAGTTTTCTAAAAGATGTTAGTAATCAGAACTTGGGATATTAATCTTGTTTGGAATATTTACAGTGAATTAATATATATATTATGCGAATCTCTAAACATCAGTCATTTTAGGTGTAAAAAAAATAAAGCTAGGATCAGTCGATCCGACTTCAGTTTGCAGGCAAACTTGGAAATTCCCTGTGGGCTTTTAGAAATAGTTTTAAGATTGGTAAGCTTTGGATTTATAAAATAACATTTTTGTGGTAAATACATTTTGACCTTTTGTTCTACAAACACAAAGTCATACCTCAAAAAGAATTTTGAAGCTGCAGTTTTTTTTTTAATCAGTAAATAAATTGCCGTGTTATCATATTCAGAATATTAACCATTCTGAATATAATGTGCATGTAAACATGCACATCGGTCAGTCTTGCAGGCTGCTCAAGGCTTATAGATGTCGTGTTTGTAATACTGAATTAGGAATCATTTGCTTTACTAGGGATCTAGCTTGTGTGCTAAGTTGTGTTTACTCAAGTTATTTAATTGTTACCAGGCTGTATGGTTATACTTAGTAAAGTTTAGATAGATTTCAAAGGATAAGCCTCCCTTTCACGCTGGAATATACTAATGAGGTTATAACCTGTTGTATTATGAACACTCTCTACAGTGTTGCATTCAGTATGTGAATTTGCTGTGTGTCTGTAATGTGTGTTTTTACAGGTTTTTAAATATTAACGTTTGAGGCTGGTGATCTGAAAAAAAAAGAATCTCCATGGCAGGTGAGAGCTTACAATTTTCTTAAACCAAACTGAAATGTTAACATATTCGAGTACCGTGGTATTTACACGGTACTGTAATGTACTGCATGGTCCTGCCATGGTACATGTCCAAATAGTACTAGTTTTGTTGGTGAACCAGAACTCAATGAGTTGAGTATTAATTTTGTGTTGTTTTTTTTCACACAGAAAACAATTTCCCTCCTCTTCCACGTTTCATTCCACTGAAGCCATGTTTTTACCAAGACTTCAACGAGATCCCAGACCATCAGCGTACAATGTGCAAACGACTGTATTACCTATGGATATGTACGTTCATATTTCAGCATATATATATTTGCAGTATGCATATCGTTTAATGCTCATTGTGGTATGTGCACTGAGTAGATTGCAATCATGTGGCTGTATTTGCATTACAGTGTCACTTTTGTTTTCACTGTAAACACTGAGAGAAACATACACAGGAAAACTTGTACAGACAGGTTTTGTATTTTGAACTGTCAGTCCACAAGTCAAAATGTGGGGTGTCATATTACTCTTGTGTTGCTGTCCAGTGTTGCTTTTGACATGTAGGATATTTACAAAATCCCTTTTTTTTTGTTGGCTCACAAATTGGGAACTATTTTGAAATGGGTCTGGGAGTTGAGAAAGTAAGTGTTTGTGGAGATAAATGCACATTTGTATTAGTATCTAAAACGTACTATAGTTTTGACTTAGATTACTTAGCATATAGATTTGGTATCTGCCCTGTTCCAGTAGATGTGGTAATTTCAGCTTTCCTTGTAATGTATTCACCTACAACATCAAATTGTGAAACAAATGCTATGTTATATATAAAAGATATTTAGTTCTAACGGAATGAAATGAGTTTTTTAATTAAATTCATATTTTTTTCACTCACAGTAAATAGTGCCACCCTAGCAGTGAACCTGATTGGCTGTCTAGCATGGATGTGCGGAGGGGGCGGGGCAACCAATTTTGGGATGGCCATTCTGTGGCTGATACTGTTCACCCCATGTTCATATGTGTGCTGGTTTAGGCCCATCTACAAGGCCTTCAAGTGAGTTCAATTAATGTTGTGGCTTCCGAGATGTTTTAAAACAGTCTTTGAGTTGTAATCATGTCATTGTGCACAACCCCAATGCAGTTCACGCTTTCTTTCATAGGACAGACAGTTCTTTCAACTTCATGGCATTCTTTTTCGTCTTCATGGCGCAAGTGGTGATTAGTATCATCCAAAGTGTTGGAATCCCAGGATGGGGAGTATGGTAAGAACTGCTTATTGTGTATAAGAAATTAGATAGATAGATAGATAAACTATTATGATGGGTTAAATAAACAACTCAACATGCTAGGTCAAAATAACCCACTGTTGGGTTTGTCCATATTTAACCCAAAAGTGGTTTGCAAAACGACCCAAACTGGGTTATTTGCAACCCAGCAGTAGTGTGGACACATACAGCAAAGCTGGGTCAGTTCCAGTTTGAGCTACCCTATAGAAACTCAAATGACTCATGTACTCTCTTGCGTCATGTAATATTTTTAGCGCACATATATTACGGTCTGTTTAGGTTATATTAGGATGTTACGTTCTATTCTGAATTCATACAAGCTTTGCATGTAGTTTACTTTCTAACTACCTTGTTAATGAGGAGAATATGTCTTCTTTATGTATTTGTATTACAGTGGTTGGCTGGCCACCATCACTTTTTTCAGCACTAATATTGGCTCTGCTGTTGTTATGCTGATTCCAACCATAATGTTCACTGCCGTGGCTGTTCTCTCGTTCATTGCCCTCACCAAGGTACTGTTACCGTTCCTCCATCATCATTGTTTTGAATATAAATAGATCTCATGATATTTCCTAAAATTCAAGCAATTACTAATTTAGGCTGTGTGTAATACCTTCACATTAACAATATCGTTTTTTGCTGATGAACATAATTTTTCTCCAACACAGTAATTACAGTAATTAATTTCTCCTGCACAAAAATCCTCAGTAATCTCACATTTTCTCTAGAGTTTCTGAAGAGGGTATTGAGCTGTGCTCAGATTTACAAAAAAAAAGTTTATTTTAAATGGTTAAAAACACTACTATTTAGTAACATAAGTCTTTAATAGTATTTTTTTACTCTTATTAATATCTGCAATTTATTGATTATTGGTTCTATGAAAATAATTATTGGCTTACATATCAGCCACAATATTTAATTATTAAAAATACACAACTAATTTAGTAACATTAATAGTTAACAAATCTTGAAATATCTTTATACTATACATTATAAGGTTGTGATAACTAAATGCTTTAAAACATTCAAAATCTTTGATTTTAGTGTGTGTTTTTTTGTTAGACAAAATATTATAGAATCATATTATTTTTATTTTTTATTTAATATCTATATTTATCGGTTATTGGTTCTATGAAAACAATTATTGGCTTACGTATTAGCCACAATTTTTGATTTTTGAAAATACTAATAATTTAGTAACAGTAATCTTTAACAGCAATTGAAATTAATAACCATTTTTATACAGTACATTATAATGTTGTGATGCCTAAACTCACTTGAAAACATTTGATTTCAGTGGGGGGTTTTGTTATTATTTCAGACAAATATTATAGTAATCATATTAATAATCTTTTTATTTAATATCTGCCATTTATCAGTTATTGGTTGTATGAAATTAATTATTGGCTTATATATATAAGATAATATTTTTAATATTTAAAAAAAGAACACTAGTAACAGTAGTCTTTAACAAGTGGTTCCCTCTCGAGCTTCACTCAACATCGCTGAGCTTCTCCGCTTATGGGAACTCCTTCCCTTCCAACCTTTCCTGATGTCCTATTGGCTCCTGCCAGTCCAAATGACTGGCCAATTGTTGTGAAGTATGCAAATCAGTATAAATGTGGTGCACACGACAATTACGTCAAAATCTTCTCCTTCACTTATTTGTTCATTTCTACAACCTGAAGAATGGCTTCATTCTGCAAGACCTGCGCGGGACCTATCGACCCTCCAGATCAGCTTGGCCCATGCTGAAGCACGTTAGAAGAGTCCGACTGCGGGCATTGTGTGGATCTGCCAGCCTGCGTGCTTTGTACTCGCCGCAACGTGGCTCGTGGCTTGTTTGGGGTGAGGCCCACTGCTGCCAGCACTCGAGCTTCACTCAACATCGCTGAGCTTCTCCGCTTATGGGAACTCCTTCCCTTCCAACCTTTCCTGATGTCATATTGGCTCCTGCCAGTCCAAATGACTGGCCAATTGTTGTGAAGTATGCAAATCAGTATAAATGTGGTGCACACGACAATTACGTCAAAATCTTCTCCTTCAGTTATTTGTTCATTTCTACAACCTGAAGAATGGCTTCATTCTGCAAGACCTGCGCGGGACCTATCGACCCTCCAGATCAGCTTGGCCCATGCTGAAGCACGTTAGAAGAGTCCGACTGCGGGCATTGTGCGGATCTGCCAGCCTGCGTGCTTTGTACTCGCCGCAACGTGGCTCGTGAGGCCCACTGCTGCCAGCATACCACTGGTGGGCCCCCCCCAGCCACCTCCCAGAGGCGGGAGCATCGACTCGCCGCACCGCCATCCTCAGCGGTCACCCCGTTCCCCAGTCTCCTTCCCCAAGGACTGCTTCCACCCTCCTCCGAACATTTCAGACTTCGCCATGCCGCCATCCGTCAGTTACCCGCCATACGCTGTGTTGTTCGGCCGGGAGGAAGAGGATGAGGACTCAATGTCCATCTCTGCCCTGACAGCGAGGGGCCCCCAGACATCCAGGAGGAGCTCGTGAGGATCATGACGAAAGCTCAACGAGCAAGTAAGCTCGACTCCTAGTATTTTAGATCCTCTCGCCGACAAGCTGATTCAAGGGCGTTAGTCACCTTCTTCCCTGATGTCCACGAACAGCTCATGAAGACGTGGTCTGCGCCCCAATTGGCGCGCGTCCACTCGAACACGCAGGCCATATTCTCACACATGGATGGGACGGAGGCCCGCCGTTAATGACCTGCGCACGGCGACGAACTTCGCTTTAATGGCCACGAAGCGCGCCGCTCAGACGATCGGTAAGGCGATGGGCTTTATGGTCATCCTTCAGAGGCACCTATTGTTGAACCAAGCTGACCTCAAGGATGCGGACCATAAAGTTCTCCTTAATGCCCCGGTGACTCCCTCTGGCCTCTTCGTGATGCCGTGGATTCCATTGTTGAGTGGTTCGCGGGGGCTCAAAAGCGTGCCAAAGTGATGAGCCACGTAATGCAGAGGCGCGCTTTCCAGCAGCAGACCGCGAGATCCAGTTCTTCTTCGGCGCATGGCCCAGCGCAGAGGAGGGACAACAGGCCCGCAGCCGCTACTGCGACCGCTGCTCCCCCTCGCCAGGAGTCCAATGTGTGGAGGAACCAGGAAGAGGTGCCACACTCAGCAGAGGAGCCCACGCCGATACTCCCGCCTGCCGTCAGCTGCCAAGCTGGCGTCCTGACAGCCCGTGGAGGTGGGAAGTGTGCGCTATCGGCCCAGCGCCCAAGCACCGCAAGCTGTCCCTAAATTGTTCAAGTTTGTGCTTGATAAACATGTGTTCAATAAAAGTGCATACATTCGCACAAAAAGAGCTCTTTCCTGCTCGCCCCGCCTCAGAGCGGTGCAGAGCCGCCGCCCACACAGGTTATCGCAGCACTTCCCAGCGCATCCAATGACCAAGCCGCTAAAGCCACTATGTCAGTTCCTGAGCGCATGGAAAACTATTCCCGGAATCTCGTGCTGGCTACTCGGTGTGATAGAGCGTGGGTACGCCCTTTAATTCAGATGCAGACCACCCTGTTTTAATGGCATGGTGCAGTCTCTAACATTGCCTCGAAATGCCCTGGTTCTGAGACAAGAGGTATGCAGCCTGCTCGAAAAAGGAGTGATAGAGCGAGTCCCTCCAAGCGAGCTGGAGAGCGGGTTTTACAGCCGCTATTTCATGGGACCCAAGAGAGATGGGTACCAGTACTCTGTTCTTATGTTTGGGCTGGCTTTGGCCATGCACACTTTCTCGGGTTCTGAGACAAGAGGTATGCAGCCTGCTCGAAAAAGGAGTGATAGAGCGAGTCCCTCCAAGCGAGCTGGAGAGCGGGTTTTACAGCCGCTATTTCGTGGGACCCAAGAGAGATGGGTACCAGTACTCTGTTCTTATGTTTGGGCTGGCTTTGGCCATGCACACTTTCTCAAAGTGAATGGATGCAGCACTTTCCCCCCTCAGAGCAGGCAAGATGTGCATTCTGCATCTGGACGATTGGCTGATTTTAGCTCATTCGCGGGACACGCTAGTCAGCCATATAGACATGCTGCTTCGTCACTTGGAGTCCCTAGGGCTATGTGTGAACATGCAGAAGAGCATTCTCGTCCCGAGCCAATCTATAACATATCTGGGAGTGTATCTTCGATGTTTCTTCGACTCTGCGCGTGCTCACCTCTCTCGGGAGCACTTGGCGGCCATTTTGTCTTCCCTGTGCCATTTCAGGCTTGGCAGCTATGTTCACTTGAAGGAATTTCAGAGGCTGCTGGGACTCATGGCAGCAGCATCAGCGGTGTGTCATCTGGGTTTACTACACATGCCTCATGCTCTGAGGCCGTGGCACAACCCAGATCTCTTCAGCTGGGGAGTTCCTTTGGGCTTGGTGATGTGGTCACGACGGACGCATCGACTCGCGGCTGGGGCGCATTGTGCAAGGGCATGCCGGCTGTGGTCAGAACCTCAGAGCCGGTGGCACATGAACTTCTTGGAGCTGGAAGCAGTGTTCTTAGCTCTAAAGGATTTTCGGCTGCAGCTGGAATAGCGGCATGTACTGATTCGCACCAACATGTCTGTGGTATCGTACATAAATCACCAAGGTGTGCACTCCAGGGCGCTGTACAACCAGGCAGCGAATTTCCTGCTATTGGCGGACCGTCACTTTCTCTTCATCAGAGCAGCACACATCCAGTGACGGCGCTACACCGGGGCTAGGGGGGGCTATAGCCCCATCAGAATTTTTAATAGCCCCGGTTTAGCCCCATTTCTTTATGAAGTAACTCTGACGTCATCAATATCATTTATTTTCTTAGCACCACCACATATTGGTCTAGCCCCCCCTTAGCACCGGTAGAGAAAAAATTCTGGCGCCGTGCCTGCACACATCCCCAGTCTCCTGAACCGCGGAGCGGACATGCTTTCGAGGAAAGGGATTCCTCAAGGAGAGTGGAGGGTGGAGGTTGCACCTCAAATTGGTTCGGATTATTTCGACCCGCTACAGAAGAGCGGAGGTAGATTTGTTTGCGATGAGCGAGAATGTGCACTGCCCGCTGTTCTTCTCTCTGTCTCACTCCCCGCTGGAAAGGGACGCTCTGACATCGCCTTGTCCAGCAGCCAGGCTGTACTCATTTCCTCCGATCAAGATATTGCCTTGGTGTTATGCAAGATCAGGGAGGAGGGGGCTTCGGTGATACACGTGGCCCCGAACTGGCCAAACCAGCCTTGGTTCCTGGACGTGACAGAGCTGCTGGTGGCACCGCCTTGGCCAATCCCCATCAGGAAGGAATCTATTGTCTCAAGCAAGCGGCTCGGTGTGGCACCCAAACCCGGAGTTATGGAGGCTTCATGTGTGGCTGCTTCGGGGAATCAGAAGAGCTGAGCGCCCTACATTCTCGTGTGTTCGGCATGCTCGCAGAGGCGTGGGCGCCCTCCACGAGATGTTTGTATGCCCTAAAATGGGGAGTGTTTGTGAAATGGTGCCGTGATGTTCATATCGACCCGACTGCTTGCTCCGTGTTGGATGTTCTGCATTTTTTAAGTACAGGCTGGATAGTGGATGTCTACCGGCAACATTGAAAATCTATGTGGCCGCTATTGCCTCGATTCGTTCCCCACTGGGGAACATATCGTTCCCATAAGCGGAGAAGCTCCGCGATGTCGAGTGAAGCTCAAGAGGGAACGTCTCCGGTTACTGTCGTAACGTTGGTTCCCTGAGAGCGGGAACGAGACATCGCAGAGATCGCTGCGTTCGCTGCTCGTCCAGCTAAGCGGCATTCAGTAACAGATTCTGGCGTAATTGTCGCGTGCACTGCATTTATACTGCCTCTCAAGCTCGTCAGTATTTGCATGCGATTTGCATACTTTGTAACAATTGGCTGTGAGCCAATAGGACTTCAGGAAAGGTTGGAAGGGAAGGCGTTCCCATAAACAGAGAAGCTCCACGATGTCTCGTTCCCGCTCTCAGGGAACCAAGGTTACGACAGTAACCGGAAACATTTTAGATTATTTTAGACAGAGCGGGAACGAGACATCGCAGAGATCGCTGCGTTCGCTGCTCGTCCAGCTAAGCGGCATTCAGTAACAGATTCTGGCGTAATTGTCGCGTGCACTGCATTTATACTGCCTCTCAAGCTCGTCAGTATTTGCATGCGATTTGCATACTTTGTAACAATTGGCTGTGAGCCAATAGGACTTCAGGAAAGGTTGGAAGGGAAGGCGTTCCCATAAACAGAGAAGCTCCACAATGTCTCGTTCCCGCTCTCAGGGAACCAAGGTTACGACAGTAACCGGAAACATTTTAGATTATTTTAGACTATTATTATTATTATTAAATATTTGCCATTTCAGGGCTGTACAGTGCGACATATATATTCACGTGCTGTTCTGCATGCGCTTTTTCTGAGCGCGTACTCAAGAAGCGCACTCACACTGAGAGCCTGTCAAAAAGCGCCTGATTATTGGACTAAGTTGTCTTTCGCGTCTGATTGATTTTGCGTCTAATACTGTCAAAAACACACAAGGATTACATATAAACACAGTTGGTTATGTCTGAAATGAAAGTAAACAGTTGAGAGAGAAACGCGTGAAGCTCTTAAAGGGACAGTAGCTACTAAACATGCTTCTGCCTGTCATTAAAGGGATAGTTCACCCAAAAAATTAAATTTTGTCATTATTTACTCTCTCACATTTTGTCCCCAAACCTGTATTAATTTTTTTCTTGTGCTGAACACAAAAGAAGATATTTTGAAGAATGTGAGTAACCAAACAGTAGATGGTCCACACTGACTTACAGTAGGAAAAAAATACCATGGAAGTTACTGTGGACCAGCAACTGCTTGGTTACCCACATTCTTCAAAAATAACTTTTATGTTCAACAGACAAAATAAATTAATTCAGGTTTAAAACAACTTGAGTAAATGATGGTATAAAAATGAAACACTATTGAAAGAATTTTAATTTTTGGTGAACTATTCTTTTAATGTTAGTAAAACAACAAAACACAAAAAAATATTTTCATCTTATCATCAGTTACTTACTTTAGAAAAAGTATAATTGATGTATATAGTGTTTTATTTTAATATTTGTTCATTCAATTTCTTGAATGCTACTGCTAAATACTGTACCTGAAAAATAAAGCACTATTTGTTTTATTTGTATATTATGTGTATTTGTAATGTATATCTTTGTTATTATTTTCTAATAACAAAATAAAATAATGACAAAGATTTTTATCTTTGCTCACTTTGCCTAAATGTCTTCCATTGTTTTTTATTTTATATTTTGTTAAGGTGTAAGAGGTGTTATGTTTCTAGATACATCAAACTAATTTGAATTTAAACGAATTTCCACCAGTACAACAATACATAAGCTTTTGCTTAAACTGTTTTAAAAGTGTGTGATAGGTTAAAGAGTTGCTTTCGGTTTTTAGAACCCCTCAATAGGAAAGTATCAGTCTCCATGTGGTATTAAGGCAGATTTAATTAACGGTTATGTAGTGTTTCTCCACTTATCGTATTTCAAACATGGCTGAACTAGAGCACCAGTAAGGAAACATTCCAAAGCTCACCATGTTTCTATAGTAACTATATTCTCAGATTCCTCTGTGCGGTATTTGCAAGCCAGTTCTATATTTTGTTTGGCTGTTAGTATTCAAGAACACATTTCCACTATTTAGCAAACGCATCTTTACTCTCACATCTTATGACTAAACGTATGTTTTTATGCACAGAGAGAAGAAATTATCAGCTTTTGGAAGTGCATTGACTGGTATTTACTTGATCTTGCAGTTAAAAAAAGTATAAACCCAGCTAACAGGAAACATTCTGAGAACTTTGGCAATGTTCTCTCAAAGTTATGAGCAAACGTTCTTGTAACATCCAATGTTTGTTCAAAGTTATCTGGTCTTTAATAATGTTCTCAAATGTTAGCAATGCTATTCATGCACCATTCATGGAACGTTTTTCTTCTAAAACTTTTTAGCTGAATATAAACAATTTTAAATATTACTACTAGTTTCAGAATGTTCAGGGAACACGTTCACATAATGTTTGCAAAATCTTCCATTAAAATTTGTAACTAAGAAAAAAAAAGTTTTAAACGTATCAAAAAACTGTTAGAATTTGAACGTTCAGAGAACTTCAATTTCTTGAATGCTACTGCTAAATACTGTACCTGAAAAATAAAGCACTATTTGTTTTATTTGTATATTATGTGTATTTGTAATGTATATCTTTGTTATTATTTTCTAATAACAAAATAAAATAATGACAAAGATTTTTATCTTTGCTCACTTTGCCTAAATGTCTTCCATTGTTTTTTATTTTATATTTTGTTAAGGTGTAAGAGGTGTTATGTTTCTGCACTCTTCCATTTTTTAGCAAATTAAGAAAAATTTGTCTAAAACAATTTTTGTGATGGTTTGTATTTTTTGTGCTCCGTATGGAACATCAGTGCCTGTTTAAGTGATGAACTCCATTATCGTGTTTGTTTTCAGACATGATAACAGACGTTTTATACTTGTGCTACAACTTTTTGGCCTGTGCTACAAAACTTTCAACATGCTACACCAGTGCTATGTGAAAAAAAAGTTAACGTACAGCCCTGCATTTACTGCTTATTAGTTCTATGAAAATAATTACTGACTTAATTATCGGGCACAATTTAAATATCCCTGTGTCTAATTTTATAGATCTTTCCTCTAATGTTGACAATTGTCTAGTTTTTGGTCTATTTTTCTTAGGATTCCTGAGCAAAGTAGATATTTTGTAGCAAAGTTGATGCTTAAATGAAAGCAATCTGTATATTAAATATATTCAAATATATTCTGATTTAGTTAAAGTGAATAAACAACTTGTTGCTTGTTTAGGACAGGCGATCTTCTGAGCTATAAAAGAGCAACATTTGAGCAATAAAATGTTTTTCTGTGTCAGGTTCACAACCTCTACCGTGGCAGCGGGGGCAGCATGAGCAAGGCTCAGGAAGAATGGACCACCGGCGCTTGGAAGAACCCTCACGTCCAGCAGGCAGCACAGCAGGCAGCGATGGGGGCTGCACAGGGGACCATGCAGGGTCAGCAGTACTCGGCCGCACCAACCTACAACTACGATGAGCCAATGTAGATCCCTTTCAGCCACAGTGGGGGGATGGGACAGAAACTTTAAGGGATAAAGTTAGTGGTTGAAACGGGGGAAGGGAGAAAAGAAAGATACATCAAACTAATTTGAATTTAAACGAATTTCCACCAGTACAACAATACATAAGCTTTTGCTTAAACTGTTTTAAAAGTGTGTGATAGGTTAAAGAGTTGCTTTCGGTTTTTAGAACCCCTCAATAGGAAAGTATCAGTCTCCATGTGGTATTAAGGCAGATTTAATTAACGGTTATGTAGTGTTTCTCCACTTATCGTATTTCAAACATGGCTGAACTAGAGCACCAGTAAGGAAACATTCCAAAGCTCACCATGTTTCTATAGTAACTATATTCTCAGATTCCTCTGTGCGGTATTTGCAAGCCAGTTCTATATTTTGTTTGGCTGTTAGTATTCAAGAACACATTTCCACTATTTAGCAAACGCATCTTTACTCTCACATCTTATGACTAAACGTATGTTTTTATGCACAGAGAGAAGAAATTATCAGCTTTTGGAAGTGCATTGACTGGTATTTACTTGATCTTGCAGTTAAAAAAAGTATAAACCCAGCTAACAGGAAACATTCTGAGAACTTTGGCAATGTTCTCTCAAAGTTATGAGCAAACGTTCTTGTAACATCCAATGTTTGTTCAAAGTTATCTGGTCTTTAATAATGTTCTCAAATGTTAGCAATGCTATTCATGCACCATTCATGGAACGTTTTTCTTCTAAAACTTTTTAGCTGAATATAAACAATTTTAAATATTACTACTAGTTTCAGAATGTTCAGGGAACACGTTCACATAATGTTTGCAAAATCTTCCATTAAAATTTGTAACTAAGAAAAAAAAAGTTTTAAACGTATCAAAAAACTGTTAGAATTTGAACGTTCAGAGAACTTTCTGAAAGAACGTTTTCATAACTTAATGGGAACGTTAGCAAAACGTTCTTAGAAAGGAAACATTCTGAGAACTTTGGCAATGTTCTCTCAAAGTTATGAGCAAACGTTCTTGTAACATCCAATGTTTGTTCAAAGTTATCTGGTCTTTAATAATGTTCTCAAATGTTAGCTATGCTATTCATGCACCATTCATGGAACGTTTTTCTTCTAAAACTTTTTAGCTGAATATAAACAATTTTAAATATTACTACTAGTTTCAGAATGTTCAGGGAACACGTTCACATAATGTTTGCAAAATGTTCCATTAAAATTTGTAACTAAGAAAAAAAAAGTTTTAAACGTATCAAAAAACTGTGTATTTGGGTGTTTTGAGCGTAAATTGTTCCACAATGTGATGTTTAGTACACTATTGTGGGGCTTGGTAAAACAGGATTTCCTGTGCAAAGCTTTGGCTGAGATTTCATCCCTAACTGACATCCACAGTCCTCTTGTGTCCTCTAGTGGACCGGATGTATAAAAATGTACTTGTTTGTTTTCTGACAGTCACCTAATAAGAAAACACTGACAGAAGCAATATCTGTCATGCATGATCTGATCACATCAACAAGTGTGAATGTTATATTTCAGCCACACCAGCAAAAGCTAAGGTCACTGTCCTTTCCAAGACCCGCCATGTTTTTTGTGCCCTGATCTTCATGCCTGTGTATCCCAACAGTAGAGTAAAGTTAAGTGAGTGGAAAGATGCCAGTAGAGTTACAGAAAACAGATAGTTGTCTTTGTACAGTGAGTTGTGTGTGGTGCTTGGTAAATTTGTGAATTGAACCAAACCTTGTGCCGTGTGTACAAAGGCACTCTGTATGTGTGTAGATGTTAATTATGTTGTCACGTCTAAAGTGGAATGTATTGCTGACTTGGAGACAAGAACTACAGTCCAGTACATTTGACAGGTTTTCATTTTTATCTACTTCTCTTTATTTTATTTCTTGACTTATAAGGGTCAAACATTTAAATGATTTTGTACTAATATCAATTTAGCCTTATTTTTTCCCTCAGCTACTATGTATTTTACTAATTTGTATTTAATGCAACGCAAACACTTGATGCTCAATAGTTGTGATTTCTGAAGGTGGTTGTTTTTGAAGTTTGAGGTGAATTGTTTTTGGTTCATTTTGTATTACTTTTATATTATTTTGTCTCTCCCTGATGGATAATAAACATATAATGTTGCATTCTGTGTCTTGAGTCCATTCAGGGTCATGAAACTGTTAGTCAACTAAACCTAAAATGAAAACCATGCCATTTACTCACGTTGTATTATTATTATTATTAGCTAGAAATAGAGTTATTATTTGAGCTAGTTGCCAAGGCAAAATTTCTCATTTTCATTTAGTTTAACTTTATGTATTAAAATAAAAATTAAAACGGAAATAAAAAAACTGTATACATATTTAGCAAAACTAATAAATTGGTTTAACTAGCATTAAATGAAAACAAAATCTTAAAATTATAATATGAAAAAAAGCATGATAGTATCTCAATGATACTGTAATAACACTGCACCCTGTTTTGAATTGTACATCCAGCAGTAGATGGCACTAAAAGCCTGGGTGGATTGCATTTGGTCTCTACTTACTGAAAAAAGCATACTATCATACTACAACACTTACTTATTTATAGTATATGGTATGTATACTCAGCATTGTTTATTGTGTATGTATTGAATACTACATGATTTACTACATTTGCAAAAAAGGTTGAAGTAATTCAGATACATATAAAGGAAAAGGTTATGAAGGACTTTGTAAGTGAGGGTTAGTATTTTCAAGACAATAATGCCAATTTGAAGGAATGTCATCTGTCATTTATAACATCTGCATTTTGACTCCTTGACCAAACTGACATATTGTATACAAAATGTACACAAACCTGAATAAAAAAAATGCAAAATAACCATATTATATTATGAGATGCTACTATGCTACTCATTGAACTAAATATAATTACAACATTAGCATACTACTGTTTGAAAGAGTTTTACAGAAGCAGTATATCTTCTTGAATGAAAGACCTTGTTATAACATTTCATTGAAACACCGAAGTTGCATTCAGTGAAAAAAATTGTATGAAATCAGGAACTGTGTTTTTGTTTCAGTCTTTTCAGAAAGAAATGCATTTAGCGATGAGATGAGTGAATTACAAAAATCTTCTGAGCTGGTATTCTGTTTCAAGGACAAGAATTCAGTTAGTAGTGAATGAAAACAAAACCATTTGCATCATCATTTTAGGGCACTGAAATAAGTTTCCTTCAACAGCTAGTACTTAGCCCTAAATTAGGATTGCATTAGCTTCCTGCAAATTTCAAAAGCTCAGCATTTAGTCCTCAGTTTCAACTTTTAATAAAATGGAGCACTTCAATACATTTTTAGTGCCTGTGAACATGCTGTCATTCAAAGTGTCAAGCATCTAAACAACAACTGCAAAACAACTAGGAATATTTTCTAAAGCAAATGTGAGTAGTGTTTGAACATGCTAATTCTGCACGTCACAATGCCAGGGTAGTTGCAAAGGTGTCGCTATGTAGTTGCTAAGATGTTCTGAGCGTTTCATTGCACTGCTTTGCAGTTACTAGGGTGTTTTGAGCATTGCATTGTTGCTTTGTAATTGCTGGGGTGTTTTGAGTATTTCATTGTGTTGCTTTGCAGTTGCTACGGTGTTTTGAGCGTGACATTGCATTGGTTTGTGGTTGCTAGGGTGTTCTGAGCATTACATTGCATTGCTTTGCAGTTGCTAGGGTGTTTTGAGTGTTACATTGCATTGCTTTGTGGTTGCTAGGGTATTTTGAGTATTTCATTGTGTTGCCTTCTTGATTGTTAGGGTGTTATGAGTATTATATTACGTTGTTTTGTGATTGTTAGGGTGTTCTGAGCATTTAATTGCATTGCTTTGTGGTTACTAGGGTGTTTTGAGCATTGCATTGTTGCTTTGTAATTGCTGGGGTGTTTTGAGTATTTCATTGAGTTGCTTTGCGGTTGCTAGGGTGTTTTAAGTGTTATATTGCATTGATTTGTGGTTGCTAGGGTGTTCTGAGCGTTACATTGCATTGCTTTGCAGTTGCTGGGGTGTTTTGAGTGTTACATTGCATTGCTTTGTGGTTGCTAGGGTGTTTTGAGTGTTACATTGCATTGCTTTGTGGTTGCTAGGGTGTTTTGAGTGTTTTATTGTGTTGCTTTGTGATTGTTAGGGTGTTATGAGTGTTATATTACGTTGTTTGGTGATTTTTAAGGTGTTCTGAGCATTTCATTGCATTGCTTTGCCGTTACTAGGGTGTTTTGAGCATTTCATTGTTGCTTTGTAATTGCTGGGGTGTTTTGAGTATTTTATTGTGTTGCTTTGGAGTTGCTAGGGTGTTTTGAGTGTTACATTGCATTGATTTGTGGTTGCTAGGGTGTTCTGAGTATTGCATTACATTGCTTTGCAGTTGCTAGGGTGTTTTGAGTGTTACATTGCATTGCTTTGCAGTTGCTGGGGTGTTTTGAGTGTTACATTGCATTGCTTTGTGGTTGCTAGGGTGTTTTGAGTGTTACATTGCATTGCTTTGTGGTTGCTAGGGTGTTTTGAGTGTTTTATTGTGTTGCTTTGTGATTGTCAGGGTGTTATGAGCGTTATATTACGTTGTTTTGTGATTGTTAGGGTCTTTTGAGTGTTACATTGCATTGCTTTGTGATTGCTAGGGTGTTTTGAGCGTTACATTGCATTGCTTTGTGGTTGCTAGGGTGTTTTGAGCATTACATTGCATTGCTTTGTGGTTGCTAGGGTGTTCTGAGTGTTACATTGCATTACTTTGTGATTGCTAGGGTGTTTTGAGCGTTACATTGCATTGCTTTGTGGTTGCTAGGGTGTTTTGAGCATTACATTGCATTGCTTTGTGGTTGCTAGGGTGTTCTGAGTGTTACATTGCATTACTTTGTGATTGCTAGGGTGTTTTGAGCGTTACATTGCATTGCTTTGTGGTTGCTAGGGTGTTTTGACTTTCAATTGTGTTGCTTTGCGGTTGTTAGGGTGTTCTGAGCATTACATTGTATTGCTTTGTGATTACTTGGTTGTTTTGAGTGTTTTATTGTGTTGCTTTGCGATTGTTAGGGTGTTCTGAGCGTTACATTATGTTGTTTTGCAATTGCTAGGGTGTTTTGAGTGTTACATTGCATTGCTTTGTGGTTGCTAGAGTGTTTTGACTTTTTCACTCGTGTTGCTTTGAGATTGCTAGGGTGTTTCGAGTGTTTTATTGTGTTGCTTTGCGGTTGTTAGGGAGTTCTGAGTATTTCATTGCATTGCTTTGCGGTTTCTAGGGTGTTCTGAGTGTTTTACATTGCATTGTTTTTTGATCGCTAGGGTGTTTTGAGTGTTACATTGCATTGCTTTTTGATTGCTAGGGTGTTTTGAGTGTTTTATTGTGTTTCTGTGTGGTTGCGAGGGTGTTTTGAGAATTGAATTGCATTGCTTTGTGGCTGCTAGGGTGCTTCATTGCATTGCTTTGAAGTTGTTAGAGTGGCTGCCATGCACTGCTAGAGTGTTTAGGTGGTTTCTTATTAACCTAAATAAAAAATATATCACCCTTAAGATATGACTCAGGTCTGTCCTTTAAATTATTTTGGCCTGTTTTACCATCTGCAAGGCTAAAATAGTCCAAATGCTGCAAAAGCACATCTCTCCCCAGCAAGTCTCACTATTTGAGGCATCATTAATGTTCACAGCACAAATGGTCATGTTAGCTTTCCTCAATACTTTAATCTCAAATTGTATCTGTTATTCTAGATAGCTGTTCGGCACCATATGCCTGAATACACTTTTCAAGCAACTGCTTGTTTTGTGTTAAACCCTGTTGTTTTTTCCCCGATAGTTCTCATCAGAGTTCCCACCAGAGACGCCTTTGTTTGGGACAAGCCTCGCAGGATGTTTTGAAGAATCATTATAGAAAGGTAAATTAGAATTTCAAACTTGCTGACACAGTCCCCTGGTCGATTCGTGATTTGAAGAGAGCAACAGGAAAATGAATACAGGAGGCTGAAGCATCTCTTGCACATAATTATGGTTGGGGCGAGCGATTTTCTGATGTACTTGCATCTGTCTTCTATTCATTACTGATCTAAATGGGATAATCTGGTCTGCTTCTATTGCTGCAGAGTCGCATTCACAATTCAAGAGCCTGCACTGCAACACTGAATTGAATTAATTTGCTTCCCCAACTGAGGCGGCAAGTGGCTGAAAAGATCTGAGCAGAAAGCAACCTTGGAAGTGTACATGAATTGATGTGTTTGTCGGAAGTAGGATGGAAGTGACAGGACAAGGGTGAGTGGGACTAAAGGGTAGTGTGTGTACGGTAGCAAGTATGAAAGAGGAGGGAAGAGTTATGGAAGAAAGATCATAGAGAACGAATGCGAGTGTTTGAGGGTGAGTGAATGAGGGAGAGAGAGAGGGAAGGGGGAGGTTTCCTAAGTGCTTGAGCATCAGTGACTGATAGAGGACAACATTGCAAGAGAGGTGTTGAGCATGCATCCGTCTCTAGTGTTATCGGAGCATGCTCAGATGGGGTAGGAGATACGCTGCACGGTACGAGGGCACAGTGGGAAAAGCCTGGCAACTCTGCGGAAGCTTTTTATAGACATATGGAGCAGCAATAAGTCCAAATGGCATCAATTCTGGACCAAAGCCACAAAAGCCAAGAGAAGACAAGCTATACTGAAATTCTGGTGTGGGTTAGCTGAACAGGATGTCCGGAACGCTCTATGTCTCGGGGTGATGGTTCTTCATAGCAGTATCTGTCAGGATTGCCTCGGAGAGAAGCAATTTTTGGCTCGTCCTCCCAGGTGTCACATCGGATGTGTTCTTTTTCTGCCAGCTCGATTGGCAATGTGATGTTTTCTTACTATTCTCAGTGCACTTTTTGGATACATATATTCTTCACATCAAATTCTGATGGCACCTACTCTGAAGGCTTTCTCATCAATGGAAAACACACTGTATGGCATACGTTTTTGAAAAAGTGGAGTTGCAACAGAGGATGCACATGTAGATATGGAGAACCGGTAAAAAGATTGGCAGATATCCCACATAAGCTGGTAGACTGACTTTCGGTATGTCACAAACCTCTCAAAATAGAAGCTCAAAAGGGTGTTTTATTTATTTATTTGCTAGCTGTCTTAAGAACAAAGCTTCTTTCATGCCAAAAATAATGCCATTTGATTTCATTTTAACATCATACGGAAAAGATCAAAGCTTTGCTTAGAACTGTTTGTTCCAGTGCTGAAACTTTTCCAATTTTTTTGATGACCTCTTTCTTTTTGAAAGTTTTCCTTTCGAATTTACAGAGAGCTACTAGATGTTCCTGGACTGATTTCAAAGTTTCCTAACATCAGCAAAAAACTATGCTAAGATGTTTGGACCAGAGAATGGGTCTTTCTTTCAGATAAGGCCAAACAACACTGTGGTGGGCTTCAGACATGAAGCCCAGTGTCCTGTCCCCTCCTGGCTGCTGCTGCTGCTGTCGTCCCCATGTGAAGGATGTTTCACAGCACAGCGCTAGGACCATTTGAACCGAGCCAGAGCCCTGACCGGAGAGCAGAGATCCGCAGGCACATTAAGATGGTCATGGAACAGCTGGAGAAAGTTCTTGCTGAGCTCAAGGACGTGGCAAAAGAGCTCCGGGAGGTAAAGCACACATTACAGGCCTGCTCTGAATGTTAAAGGAATGACATGTTAAAAGGTACAGTCTGATGGGGAGATTTAGTAAGTGAAAGGTTGTGGGCTTTAACCCAGGGGTCTCCAACCTTTTTTACACCACGGACCGGTTACGTTTGGAAAATATTCTCGTGGACCGGCTGGACGAGGGGGGGGGGATCTGGGGATATATATAGCCTAATATATGTATATACATTATATATATATATATATATATATATATATATTAGGCTAGGCCTATATTATATAGTATTATAATAGCATTATATAGTGGTTCAACGCATTATATTGTGGGGTTTTTTTAGTCACAGATCAGACTATTTTTTCGGATAAGCAAGAAAAAATAAATTTAAAGCACAGAGAATGACAACGCCGTGAAGGGTTTTTGACATAGGCTAATTTTATGTTTATGTATATGCAACTCGGTATTTCCGCGCTGTCTGAAACACGTCTCTATGCTTGTGCGCGCTTTGATTGTGTGCGAGAACAGTGCGTGAGTAACGAATTGAGCTCTCTTTCATTTCTTCTTCTTGTGGTTTAAAATTGCTTGTACGTGTAAATTGGCAAATTAATCTGCGAATCACGTGCGTGCCGAATGGTAGGGTCTCATCCGTACGTATTACGGATCAACTGCGATCTGTTTAACTCCTAATATGTGGCAGATCAGAGCAATCTTTCATTTACTTAGTATTTAACATGAAATTGTCAAATTTCTACTCCATATCAATCGCATACAATGAAAAACCAGAACAATTGGAACAATCATTAACATAAATAAATAACAGAGATTCATATCTATACACATTTTTCCCAGAACGTTCTTGTGACCCGGTAGCAATTCTTCCATGGCCCAGTAGTGGGTCGCAACCCGGTGGTTGGGGACCTCTGCTTTAACCCAAAGATGACCAATCCTGCTCATGGAGGGCCAATGTCTTGGCTCCAACCTACCCCAAACACACATGCTTGGAAGTTTCTAGTAATTCTTAAGACCTGACTTTGCTGGTTCAGGTGTGTTCGATTAGGATTGCTAATCTTTGCAGGGTAGTGGTCCTCAAGGAGCAGGATTGGACATCCCTGACATCCCGAGGCGGGACTTGAACTTGGGTCACTCAAAGTGTAACTGCACAACATGTCAGAGCAATGCCCACAATGCTATCAGATCCGACAAGACAAACCTTTTTTAACCCCACAAGGGGTTCTATACAAGCTACCACCTTTGTGCCCTTAAACAAGGCACTGGTTCCTACACTGTGCCGGGTAAGACCCAAAATATACTCAAGTATGTAAGTGCGCATGACTGATTTCACACATTGTTGCATTCCGAAAAATTCGTAGCACAACGCAAGTTTCTATTTACATTCTCAAAGTTGCTGAACCATTTTAAAATGACACCCAAAGTTACCTAAGCAACACACCCTCTTGGTAACTCTATCATCCCATTGTGTACTGTTTTTTTTTTTACCACCCCAGTAACCCAGAAATAATGCAATCTTGCAATCCACTGATAAGCATTTGCCTTTATGATTGCGTACTTTCAGAGTTTGTTACTGGCCTGAACGCGACTACTGACTGACTACCTAAATATACAAAAACCAATAGACACATACACAGTGGGCACAATTCATAAACATACACAAGGTCACAAACACATTCATGCCCCTGTGATACGTCCACCTAGGGGCTGTTGACTGGACAGCTTGTCACCCAAACAACAACCAGCAGATAGATTAACAAGGAGAAAGACTTGCAGGATGACACCCCCCACATACGGTGTGACACCCCCATACAAGCAAGATGTCATCTGTGATGCCTAATTATCACCCGGCGAATCAGACAATGGGAGCACAACTGATTTCCTCATCTTCTCACCTGTCAACGTCTCATCTCTTTTGCAGTTATCTCTCTTTGTGCTGGGCGACTGCTTTCAGCATTATGTGAGAGGACATCTCCTTAATTAATCTCTTTCCTCGGGTGGATATCTATCTGCCTCATTACTGTCACTGAGTCTATGAGTGTCCCTGTCTGGCATTTGTCTCATCATCTCAGTCACAGCTCCGCTGGATTTGTCTCATTTGTCTCCTTGCCCAAGTTCAGGCATCACCGGTAGCTCTGCCACTCTTGCCTGAGTTAACACCTCCATCTGTCACTCACACCTTGCAGCAGAGCCTTATTGTTACTACTGACATCTTGTTATGGTTAGTAGTTTTGCCACATGCTCATATGTCTTTCAGCTGTCTCTTATTCCATGGATAACAGCCAAACATTTGTCACGATTCTGAATTCTTTGCTGCTAAGTGTAACCAGTACACTGCTCACTTACAGACCCAATGCACACAGAATTATGATGTCTAAAGTTCTTTTTGTGTTTGTGTAATTCAATAATTTGGCTAATTTGATCATGCGGTCACCTAACAAAAGTTCGTACTTTAAGCTCCATTTAACACATTTTAATCATGTTTAAATAAATTCTGTAGAATTCTACTGATTTTCCGCCAAAAACAGCACATGCACAAATCCCCTATGGCCTTCTTTATATTCTATTATATATATGAAATACATCAACAATTCAACTATTTTAACCAGACTGACTTTTGTTTTCATTATTTATAGTACAATGGTGTAAACAACATTGATCAGGAAGGTAATGTTGATGTTTTTGAAAATGTTAGTAGCTAAGCTACAAGCTTAGCTAAGTTACACTTTTTAAAAGTTTTGATAGTAAGTTTTGTAGTGTTGCTTTTTCAGAAGTGCTTGAGTAATAAAGTAGCTTAGACACTAATGTTGGGCGATATGCTCAATTGTCATTTTGCCTTATCATCAGCCTGTGAGATCACCGATACACGAAATTATCCTGCTAATTTATTTAATTATTTACTCAGTTTAATTACTGGAAAGTGATCCCAACTCCAGCATAAGGCATAAAGCAGCCTAATGTTTTTATTATGACTGAATTTATATTTAACATGATAACAATTTAATAGAAACATTGTAAGTTACTAATTATAATGCTTACATTTCCTCAGTTATTCAAACAGCAGCTACAAAACATTTACATTACCAAAGAACATCATCACTGACTTCAATCTAGCACGAGTCTATGCACTTTAAAAACACTCCCGTTATAATCAGTGAAGCTATCTACACTGTATGATGAATAAATCTCTTATACTTACATTGCATAAGCACAACTGCATCTGCACTTTGTTGTTTATTTGCGAGAGAGCTGAATTTAGTCAGCGCGCGCGCAATGAACAACAAAACTCCGCTGTTTTAGTGATGACTCATCTGAACACCTCTGATTGGCCGTTGTGTTCATAAACTCAACGGAATCGTGTGTGATTTGTTATAACGCGCAACACTGTAAAAACGCGGAAAAATAAATATGATGGAACAAATAAGCCCTAATATGAATTAGATAGCATTACTAGCGTGATGATGATAATAATAATAAGTTGAGCTAAGTTTGAATAACTTTATTTGGTCAGAATGCATGGCGAGTTACGTAATCAGATTACTTTTTTCAAGTAACTAGTAAAGTAACACATTGCTTTTTAATTTACAAGAGAATATCTGAGTTACTTTTTCAGATAAGTAACGCAAGTTACTTTTTTCTTTCAGTTTATTGACCGACAGCTCTCCTGTCACCATGTTGAGAGAAATCAGAAGATGTTACTGTAGTTCTAAAATAAATATGAATATGCATTAATTCATCTCTCACACACAAAAAAAACACAGATTCAGTATTCCTCAAAATGAATAAAAATAATGCACCTTAGAATATGCCGCAAGCCTGCAATAATTAAATGTTAAACAACACAAATATGCTTTATGTATTTAATCCCATTCTATTAACCAATGTCTTTGCTTCTGACCTTCGATGATCCAGTTCAACCGTACTAATAAGCACAAATTACTCTAGACAAACATTTGTGTGTCTTTGTTTATTGCTGAAGTGTGTTGAAATTTCTTCTTCTGCATTCTACTGTACGGACGTAAATTTACTTTTCCTTCAGCCTGAGGCTTATTCATTTCACTTTTGGTGTGAGAAGGCTTTTATATTTGCCAAAAATATAACTTTTTTATTTAAAAAACAAACAAGCAAGCCCTGTCCAAATTAAAACAATTAACGTAATTTAAAAAGTAACGTAACGCATTACTTTCCATAAAAAGTAACTAAGTAACATAATTAGTTACTTTTTTATGGAGTAACGCAATATTGTAATGCATTACTTTTAAAAGTAACTTTCCCCAACACTGCACACTTTTCCCGATGCATAGTTAACTAGCCAAACCTTGAGCTCTTCTAGTAAACAGTGGTCCTGTAGCTCAATCAGTAGAGCATGCTGCTAGCAAAACCAAGGCAACAGTAGCTTATATAACATAAACCTTGAATGCCATGTAAGTCACTTTGGATTAAAACGTCTGCCAAATGCATAAATAAGTCTTTGGTTCTTTTAATTGTGATGATTTTGGCTCACATTTAGCAAAAACCCAACAATTCACTATCTCAACAAATTAGAATATGGTGAAATACCAAGTCAAGTCAAGTCAAGTCACCTTTATTTATATAGCGCTTTTAACAATACAGATTGTGTCAAAGCAACTGAACAGCATTAATTAGGAAAATAGTGTCAATAATGCAAAGTGACAATAGTAAACACTAATTTTTCAGTTAAAGACAGTTCATCATTGAATTCAGTGATGTCAGCATCCAGCTCAGTTTAAATAATATCTTTGCAATCATGTCAACGATATCGCTGGAAATGAAGTGTCCCCAACTAAGCAAGCCAGAGGCGACAGCGGCAAGGAACCAAAACTCCATCGGTGACAGAATGGAGAAAAACCCTTGGGAGAAACCAGGCTCACCATTAGCTGATTGGTTGATCAGCCAATCAGCTAATCAACTCAAAACACCTGGAAAGGTTTCCTGAGCCTTCAAAATGGTCTTTCAGTTTGGTTCACTAGGCTAC